ACCATCGACTAATGTTGTGCCCTCTGATGAGTGGGGCATCATTATGTTGTCGTCCCCGAACGAAAAGAACTTCCAAGCATGGGCGAAGCAGGCGGGTGCTATCGAAATCATCATGAATTGCCCCGATGAAAACGACGTGAGGGCGATGTGTGAGTGGGGGACACGCAATACGACTGAAGAGGAGCAGGCGGAGTATTGGAGAAGCATGTACATGCGCATGCATGACGTCGGACCGATTCCACGATGCATCTTTAATGACAATAAATATAGAAAGCGCGTGCGTGATACCAATAACATCCTGGCAGGTATCGACGCCTCAGATGCTGTACATTATGGGATGATTGGAGGTAAGGGAATGTGGCCCTCGAATGACGCTTCTCACAAACTTGTGAAAGTTGTCCGATCAATAACACAAGGCGATGTTGAGGGATTTGTTAACATGCCGGCCTGTTTTTCCATTGAAAGCGAATTAATTGCAAAGTTGCTCGAAGTGGATGAGGAGAATGACATTTTTTTTCGACTAAGCAAGAACTATAAAGTGTTATTTCCGGAACTTTTGGGGCGGCATACTCTGCACGCATTCCTGAGTAGAGTCTTTGTGAAAAATATAATGCTGAGCCTCAAGGAGTTGCCTCCACCCGGACGTCGTCGGCGACAAAGATGTGTGCTGCAATCGAACCCCGAAAAACATCCAAGCAGACCCGTTGCATTAATGGCGCTGGGCCACACTCCTCCGAGGTTGGATGTACAATACAAGGTGCTATACGTACCGGAGAGCAGAACTTTCCCGCTTGTGGACGGCTTTTTCTTTGTTGGTGCACCGCGGAGGACGATGGTTGCGGTGCAGGTGACGACGGGGGCTGAGCATGACACCAAAACCACCACGGTGAGGCAGTTCAATGATCTTCTACGGAGTTATTTTTATGACTGGGAAACGTTTGCGGAAGGCTTGTCGTGGGAGATTATTTACGTGCAGCATGAGGACAGTACGGCAATAAACGCGTGGCAGGGATGTGTTGTCGTCGCGCAGGCAAATGTAACGGGCAGCAATGAGCGTGAGGACCCTCAGGCCATTGCGGCATTTTGGAATCAGCAGGTGCGTCAGTACCAGGTAACGCTATCATATGAAAATTTTATACATAAACGACAAACCCAACGTGGGCGACACCCAGAGGGACAAGGGAAAGGAGGAGGGGAATAAACAGCTTGAGTTTACTGGTGAAATATTTTAGGGAGTATGATATATTGCCGAGTGTGTTTGTGTGTGGGTAGGAGGCGCACTTAGGGACTCGCTCTGCCGTGCGCCAAATGATTATTGCGGCCAGCGCTACCACAGCAGCACCTTTTTTTTTGTTGTGTTTGTGAGTAAAATTGTGTGGGGAATGATGGCGCCTTGTGGGTGTACGCCGGCAGTATTCCATTGGTGGTATCTCCTCGCTGTTCCCAGTTTGTTGCTGCAGAGAGTTTGGGCGAGAGGGTAAGTTTTGCATGCTGAGTGGGCTCACAGGCGGGAAAGCAAATGCGGCGGCCACCACAGCCCAGAGGTCAGGGGGCAAACCGAATTTCTGAAATTGTTTTTGTGCCTTGGCGTGGTGTTTTTCCCTTTTGTTTTTTTGGGTGCCATCGTTTTTGGTTGGCGTGCGGCTCCAATGGCGGGTGCTGCATGCACCGCTGAGAGCCTCGAGCAAACGCCGTTGGCGCCTCTCTTTTTGTTGGGTTGCCGTCCTGGGCGCATGCGCCTGTTCCGTCTTGTTTGGGCTGCAC